GGCCTCGGCCCGTCGGCTCCTTCTGCCGGGCACGGCGGTCCCTGCTCGCCCGCTGAGGGCCGGGCAGTCGGGGGAGAAGAGCAGGAGCTCGCCCCGCGCCGGGGAACTGCCGAGCAGGGCGGGTCCTGGGGGTAGAGCGCAGTGCCTTGATGGGTGGAAGGGGCAGGAGCGTCCTGCTGCCATCCCTGCTGGTGTGGGTAGCCGTGAGGCACTCGTCCTGCTACGGGGGTGACAGGGCAGGCTCTGACTGCAGGGGAACAGCCGCTGTCGAGGCTGTAGCACAGGTCTGCAGGCACAGAACTGAGCCCCAGACTGCACTCCAGGCTGCTGTGCTTCTGGAACACTGACCTGAAGCTGGAGCCCCACATCTGCTTAGAGCAGACAGAAGAAGGTCTTAGAGAAGACAATTGGTCTTCTGGGGACGCTGCAACTCCAGCACCAGATTTGGCAGGTGGTATGGAGGAATGATGTGAAAGCTGGCCATGCTCCATGATAAGGGAAGGATGAGCTGGGGACATTCTGCAGAGAGGAATCTGGCAGAGACAGCAGTGCCCAGGAAGTGACATTGGCCATGCCATGGAAGTCCCTGTCTGCGTGGCCCTATTCAGTGCCCGGTGCGGGGTGGCTCCAGAGGCCAGGCTGCTAGGAATGGCAGGCAGGGACTCAGGCTGTGGGGACCCAGCAGCTGGACACACTGAACATCTAGGGCCAGCTACTGGCAGGAGCAGCCTGTGTGTGTGTCCTGGTTTGGGCCAGGATTAAGCCAATTTTCCTTTTACTGATTTTTTTTTTTTTTTTCCCTTCAGCAAGCTTTCTTTTAACTAGCAACACTCTGTTCTGACTATGGCTGATAAGACACTGGAATGTTTTTCTAACTGCTGGGGCTTCAAGGTCACACCTTTACTCAGCCAGCTCAGACACTACAGGGAGATCTATGACCCCCCCGTAGGAGGCTGAGTTAGACAGACTGGCCAGAGATATTCCATTCCATATATCTATGTAAGCTCAGAGGAAGGTCAGAGATCCCAGAAGACAACTTCCTTCCTGGTTTTCTTCTTCCCTTCTCTTCCATCCATGGCTGGCGTCCGCAGAGGACTCCGTCCATCCCTCACCTGGGACCCCCAGGCTCCAGCTCTCCTGACCCTCATCACTCTGCGCTTTCTCCAGCAGCAGCTCCGGGATTTCCCGGGACTGTTCCAGCTCAGGAGAAGCTGTGGAAGTTGCTGGGGGTGGGGGGAGGCGAGAGGCTTTTGCTCATACCTGAACATATTTGTATATAATTGTATATGTATTTTCTTAGATAATTCATTAGTGTTTAATTAAAGCTGTATAGTTTAGTTTTCAGTCCAGCCAAGTCTCTCTCTTTTTCTCTCTCTCCTTCCCTACCTGGGTGGGAGGGGGAGGGGATCGAGAGCATTGTTGTCTGATCTGAGTCAAACGGTGACAATGTGCACAGTTCACTGGTGACTGTGATGCTGCAGCAGCTCCTGAGCAAGCGGCAAGAGGCTCCTTTCAGCAGTGCAGATGGCAGGTAGTTGCAGCCCACCTGACTGATCAGCCCCAGCATCCACAGACCTTGCAAGAGGACCAGGTCCATCAGCCACCACAACGTGTCCACGTCTCAGAGCCGGGAAGGACTTGGAGGTCCTGGAGCGTGCGCACCCTTCCTGCCAAGGCATGTCCCCTCTGCATTGGCTGAGCTGCCCCCGAGCTGCCAGCACCCTCTATCCTGCCTCCTCTTGCTGCACCCTTGGCCCCTGGCAAGCGGCAGTGCTGCCGCTCCAGCTCTGCTCCCACCCAGGGGTGCACAGTGAGCAACCAGCTGGGCAGGGATCTCTGGAGCCAAGGACATCCCCTTTACTCCATCCTGACCATGGTTTGCAAGGTGCTGGTCTGGCTCTGGAGGTGACACTGTATCCTGGTCTCCCTGAGCCAAGGTTTCTGTCCAGAGGCCCGTCTCGGTTCAGTGGTCAGGGCAAACCACAAACCAGAGGACAGAATGTCTCTGTTACCCCACTCCGCCCTCCCAAGGGAAGATTCAAGGAGAATAAGGAAGAGAGACTTACTGGTTGGAAGGTAAAACTGGAATGTTTACTGCAACAGGGAAGGAACAGTAACACAAGATGGGAACAAATATATACACATAGATAGAGCCTGATCTCAGTGATGGCAAATATAAATGCCCGAGGGCCCCTGGTGGCAGGGCTGACTTAGGAGAGAGGCCCACAGCTCTTCCCAGCACCAGATGGATTCAGATCCTGGAAGGCACGTGGTGAGCTGATGAAAAAGTAGGAGCCTCCCTCCAAGACCTCTTCAGTGTAGCAAAGCAGTAAGAAGGGAGCAGGAAGGAGGACACTTCCTGTCCTCCTGGCTTTTATAGACTGGCAGGAGATGGGGGGGAGCGCTGACCCCTCCCTGTTCTGCCCCCCGGATCCCTCAGGGTCCTAAACACCCTCTCTCTAGGTCTTTGTGTCGGTATCATCAGGTCACCTGGGCCCTCTCAAACCAGAACAAGGCCTCAGCTTGAACATCCAACATGGAGCACAGGCTCACTGCCCTGCACACCCAGCAGGATTGGCAGCACCTCCATGAGTGAGGGGTGCCACTGAGTCAAGGCTGTGGTGAAGCTCCGAGGCTGAGCTTGGTTAGTTGAAGGTAGGGGGAAGTCTGGTGGGCTTGGGACAGGGTAGCAGTGAGGAGCAGCTGTGGGGGATGCAGCAGCAGCAGGCTAGGAGCAGTGGCAGCAGGAAGGCTTTGGGGTGCAGTCTGGTGCACAGCAGGGCTGCAGGGCAGGATCCCTGCCCTTCCGGATCTGGCTTTCCCCAAACTCCATGCGCTGCTCAAAAAACACTTTCTGCACCTTGATCTCCTCCAGGACCTGCAGCGCCTCTGGGCTGGCACCGCCCTGTAGCAGGTCATAGTTCTCGGCGGGGTCTGACTCCAGGTCAAAGAGCAGTGGGGGCGAGTGAGGGGCCAGCGGGGTCAGCCCATGGCAGGCCTGGTCTGGGGTCGTATCACTGTGAAAGGAGCCTGCAAAAGAAGCCCCCAGGTGGAGCTTGGTTTCTTTTGGAGCTTTGGACAGCAAAGCCAAGTGGGACTTCCCGAGGCTGCCCAGGCAGAAGGGAGGAGGCAGCACCAACCTTGGGTGAAGAAATGGGCCTTGTACTTGCCGAGCCTGACAGCGAAGGGGCCGCGCACTGGATTGGGGGATGGTGGGTAGAAGAACATCATCTGGCGGGGACTCTGTGGGAGCAGCAGAGCTAAGCTCCCCCCGCCAGCCATGAGGCTGAAGAGGAGCCTGATGAGGAGCAGGCAGACGCTCTTTGCTCCCTACTCAAAGCTACCTAGGCTTTGGCCCAGCAACCTGCTGCAGTTGTTGGAGCAGAGCAGCCTAGAGTTGCCCCGGAACTCCACAGCACGACCCACGCCAGACAAGAGGTCCCAGCTCATGGATCTCCCTTGCCCCCAGCTGGTTCTGCTCATCGTGCACACAGCTCCAGCCCCACACCAGCCTTCAGGCACAGAGCCAGCCAAACCAGCCCGGAGGACTCACCTTCCCTGACCCAAACAGCACTGGGCTCAGGTCATAGCCATCCAGGGCAACTTTGGGAAGAGGTGCTCCAGCCAGGGCAGCCAGGGTCGGCAGGATGTCCAGGGTGCTTGCCAGCTCATGTGTCACTCCTGTCACCCACCACACCAAGGCACAAGGAAAGGTTCAAGCACCTGATCCTTCCATCCTCACTCCTCTCCCACCCTCTGCTTGTCCTGGGGCCGCCGAGCTGCCAGGACACCCCTGCCCACAAGCAGTGCCAGGGCTTACCTGGGGCAACACGGCCAGGCCAATAAGCCACTGCTGGTTCCCGCATGCCACCTTCGTATGTGGTGCCCTTCCCACACTTCAGAAGGCCAGAGCTGCCCCCACGTGCCATCCTCATGGTGGAGGGGCTGTGAGAGAGAACCATGTGCCATCAGCTTCACAGGTTCATGTCGCCCCTTCCCTGAGGCTGCCAACGGGGCCGTGACAAGAGACACGGTGCCAGCAGTGACAGTGCTGTCCTCCTCAGCCTTGTGAGGAAGGAGGCATGGGGCAGGTGATGAAGGCAAGATGGACAATACACCTAAGCAGGACACCAGAGACCAGTGCCACCTCCACCTGAAAGGAACTGGGGTCTGTTGGGGCTGCTGCATGCTCCTGGCCTGAACCCTGTGAGGTTTCTGGTCACGGGGAGGCACGCAGCTGAGTCAGAGGAACAAGGAGCAAATCATGCACCAAGTCCTCTCCAGAGCAGCATCAACCCCTCGCCTCACTTCAGGTCACTGGGGTCTCCCCTGGCAATGCCACATCTCCCTTGTGCCCCAGCCAACCAATGCCTCATCCCTGTTCCCCCATACGGCAGCAGAATCTTACCAGTGACAAAGTCTCCCCTCTGACCCCACTCACCCATTGTCAGAGGTGAAAAACACGAAGGTCGTGTTGGTGAGACCGTAGTCCTGCAGAGCCTGCAGCAGGTGCCCCACCGAGCTGTCAAACTCCAAGAGCGCGTCGCCGAAGGGCCCCCGCCGTGACTGCCCAGTGTGCTCCTGGCTGGCAAACTGGGGGTAGTGTGTGTGCTGGGGAGAGGGCAGAGGGGGCTGCTGCACAGACTGCCCAGAGCTGCTCCTGGTCCCACCTCACCCAGGACAGCAAGCACCCCCAGCCAGGACATGGAGACATGTGACAGTGCCCACGAGATGAGACTTGTCCCCAGCTTCAGAAGCACCTCTCAGAAATGGCACAAAGAAGCTGAGCCCCAGGAGAGGATGTGGAGACCCAGAGGGGGAAGTTTTCCTGGGTGGACTCCTGGCCCAGAGAAGTGGGCAAAGCCCCAGAAAGAAGCAGCCCAAGTATATGATCAGAGTGATGCTGCCCCAGAGCTGGGCCCAGGAACAGCAACACCAGGTTATCCAGGAGCAGGCACCAACTGGGGCTGCAGGAGCTGAGGTGCTTCCTGCTCTCCCCACAGGACAGACCCCCTTCCCCACCCTTGGGCCCCCATCTCCTACATGGGAGGCATAGTAGAGCAGGAAGGGGAGGCCTCGTCGGGCACAGTCAGCAATGAAGTCCCGGGAGAATTTGTTGTAGAGTGGCACCAGATCAGGAAAAGAGAGTGGCTGCTGAGAGATGCTCTGGTTCCAAAGCAGAGGGACTGGCACTAAGCCTTGGTCACAGGTCCCAAAACACTTGACGTCAGGTGGGAAGCAGGTGAGATTCTGGCAGGGGCCCTGGAGAAAAAAAATAACACTTTGTCTTCTACCTGTATTGCAGGACAGTGAGGGGAGCAGAGTCTCACAGTGGCCCACCACCAGCTCCAACATGCACCCTTTGGGCAGCCACTCCCAAAGCCCAGGGGTCTGTGCCCATCCTAGAACTGTCCAAGGACACTTGCTGCCCCAACATAATTTTCTCCTGGCAGCAATTTGGGTGTTTCTCTGTATCCCAGAGCTGACCCCTCCTCCCTTGATAAAGGGTGTGTGTCCCCAGACACAACTGCCACCCAGATTCTGCAGAACTGTCCGATCCCACAGCCACTTCATGGATGGGCTTTCCCCACCAGCATCCATCTCCCCAGCCCACAGCCACCCCCACCCCTCTGTCCAGGCAACCAGCAACCCAGCTGACGTGCTCTCCATCAAGCTTCATCCTTCAGGAACCTCCCCCGCCCCCCCCAGGACACCCTTCAGGGCTGGACAAACCCCTCACCTGGTCATGGGAGTAAGGCACCCCCAAGAAGTGGTCAAAGCCCTGGTGGATGGGCAGGAAGGAGCCGTTGGTGCCCAGGCCAAGGTGCCACTTGCCCACCATGGCGGTGGCGTAGCCCTGAGCCTTCAGCACCTCCGCGATGGTGACCTCGGCCAGGGGCAGCCCCCCCCGGGAGTCGGGGCTGAAGACACCGGGATACACCCCGGAGCGCATCTGGAACCGGCCGGTCAGCAGGGCTGCCCTGCAGGGAGGGACAGGGAGGGGGCA